CTGGAGATTTTAAAGTTCCTCTCGTACCGGAGCCAGAACATGAACAACTTACTTGTTTTAAAGGAGGAGATTGAGAAGGAGAAGGACGAGGTTTTTGGCCGTGGTGTTTTGTGGGACAGCGGCAGCGACGTCCGTTGAAAGGAACGTGTGGATGTGGAGACGTAGCCAAGAGTGGTGAGTGGTGATGTGCTTCACTTCAGCGACACGGAGTTCATTAACAATTTTCACCTACTTCAGCGCAGAATAGTGACGTTTGTGGCTTGTTGATAATGTGTAGGTGGATGAATGCACTTTGGCCGTTCAGACTGAAGTCGCATGTGAAAAGATCAGATATGTATCGGTTTCAGGAGCACATATCCAAGTGTCCTGAGTCGCTTTTGAAAAAATCGGATCTGTGTCGTTCAGACTGTCATTAAAAGACCAGATACAGGTCACACGGGGCCAAAAAATCGGATTTGGGTCACTTCAGGCTGCAGTCTGAACGCAGCCTAAGACTTGCCCTCTTCGAATAAATCAAATATCGAATAACATTTCTTGCAAAGCTAAAATGAGTAGCTCTCTGGCATTTTCATTTTGTAAAGGCAGCTCACTGGACACAAACAGTTAGAGATCCTTGTTATAGAGACATTATTTATTGAAAATGTTATTATTTTATATTCTGCTTGTTCTGGATTCAATATTTAAGCAAAACTATTGTTAAACATTTATTTTAATAAGAAAAGGTTTAACACTACATATCTCGAAAGAAGAAAAAAACATGCAGATGTTGCTGAAATTTTTCAATAAATATTTAGTTTGGCCCACGACTTTAATTTTTGGCCCTCTGTGAATCTGAGTTCGACCAGAGCAGACTTTTGCCATCACAGACGGTAAAGCTAATAATAACTAGCATGCTTATGTGCAATTCCTGATTAGCAGACAGTAATGAAATTCTTTATAATTAGATACACACAGCACACAGCAGACGTATTTTGACCTCAAGACCTGCTTATACAATATATCTGGACTAGGGCAAGACAGATTATTGCTCAAACACATGTACAAGGTCTTTCACTACAATCTTTACATTTTACAGCAGAAAAATAAACATTGTGTAAGTGGTAATGGGGGCACAGAGACTTAAAGCAGAACTACCTACTGTATTATGCACAAAGGACTTTTCAGAGCTTTTCACCGTGTTATAGCTGTTTCCTCTCAACATTTTCCATCTCGAATTTGCACTTGGAGCGATTCGTGCATGTTTGAGTAATCTTTAATCTGTATTTTCAAGACGCCGTTTTGCCGATCTATTCCTGTTTTCAACGCCCACTGCTCTGTACTTATTTCATTCACCAGTTTTATTTCGATATGTGTAGGAGTCAGCAGCGTAGCGAAGTCATTTTTGTGCAATTTTTTTAAAAAGCTCGCAAGCCTGATGTGCAGCAACCCATCAGAGGTGCCAGCTCTTTGTTGTGATGATGTTTATGGGCCCGGTCAAGCAGAAGTAAACAGCAAGGCCAAAAATTCAAGTTAATGCATCTGATATAAAAATGTATTGAACAGATACATATGTACTCTAGTTTATGAAACTGTTGACCTTTTTTCTGTACCATTTTTGGTTCTAAAGTTACATACGTTTTAAACAGACCATGTATGAAACATGGAACAAAAATTATTTCCCAAATTTCAAAGACCTGAAAATCATGTAAATAAATGGATGTATTTCATCATATCTTGTGTTATTCCATCTTTGAACTGTTGATGAAGGTACATGATTTAAAAAAAAAACAAAAGTATTTAAAATGATAAAAAATTTGCTTGGAAGGACTGACATATTTTATAGAAATAGTTTCCTTTCATTTTGAAGTAATATTAAAGTATTCGGAAGAAAAAAGTTGACAAATTATGTAAAATCCTGCACCTTCTACTTGTTTGCACAATTTTCCCTCCGTTACCATGACCTTTCTTAATAAAAAATCTCATGACTCAAAAAGTAAGAGGTTTTTCAGCCTAATCTTGTACCATATGGTAGAAAACTATATGAAGCAAATATTCAAACCAGTTTGTTAAGGATATGTAAGTGAGAACCACTAGTTATCACTGTTTGTATTTATTGCCCAAAAAGTGCTGCATATTTCATTCCCTCCGTTACCGACATGAGTTTTTTAATTTTTTGTCAATAACTTGAAAGAATCTCACAGGTTTAACTTTACCCTGTTGGAGTGTAACTCTTTCCTACATTCTGATACTTTACTTATTTCAATAGTCCCTCTAGTTTCTGAATAAGAGACATTTGAATGAAAAAAATCTGCCCCTGTTTCCCTCCGTTACCACTTGACCGGACCCATATGCCTTTTTGTTGTTTCGTTTTAGATGAATATTGCGATTTAAAATGTCCCTAAACAGTCACAAGCACAATATGTCTCCTTTAACAAAAGCAAAAAAACTAACTCAAAATAAACCAGCATGATAACAATATTGCTTATAACTCATTGTTGCACCATTGTTATATCACTAAACTTAGCCAGAAATAACCCCGGTCTCCTGGCAACCGAACACAGCTCTGATAGAGGCGAGAACGCCGTACGAAACGCTCACCAAACTCCCACAGTAAGAAACACTATAATCTCCACTGCACCTGTGTAATAAGCACCGTCAAAACTCCACCAACTGTCACGTCGGCTGTGTGTTTACCCCAGGCTTCTCAATCGCTCTTCATCTCGCTTCACCTGTTCACCAACAAACCGGGATCCCCCAAGAGCCGCCGTGTTTTTTTGTTTCCTACCACAGACTGTATAAAGTTAAAGAAGTGGACTAACAGAGTGTGAGCCATGGCGTCCAGTCAAACGAAGCTCATCGAGGCCGAGCTGACTTCCATATTAGGAATAGAAATGTATTTACGGACAAAATAGCAGAAATAAAAACACCAGGATCATGTAAAACGGGGTAATGCGAACATTTAAGCCCAAAATCAGAGAGAGGAGTGACAATTTTTCAGTGGAAAGTCAATTGGAGCCAGAGTCGATGGAGCTGGAAGCGCCAATTAAAAAAAAAAAAACAACAAAAAAACATATCGGTCGATCTCTAATCCTAAACGAAAGTATATATAAAAGCTGTGATATTTTATTACTTATCTTTCTATTTTATTTTTACTTGTACATTTACATTTATATAATTATGTCTTTTTTTCTTTTTTTCTACATATTTAGAATTTTTTTTTTTTTACCATTTATATTTTTATGTGATGTATTTGTGTGAGCTACTGCGTCCAAATCATTTCTCTTGTGCATCAATAAAGTTTGTCTAAAGTAGATACTCATTTGAGCAAAGCAAAAAAATAAAAATCACATTAACAGGACAAAATTTGAGCTGTCACTTTCATTTTTATCAGAACAAACATAAGATCTCATGGGAATATTAAGAAAGTACTGTTATTTTAAGTAAGAAAATGACATTCTAGCACTAAAAAGGAGCATGGTTTATTTTAATTTTTATCGTAATCGGTATCGAGTCTATTCCTTAGTACCGAAATTGCGTTTGAAATCATTTTCGTATCGTGACGACGCAACAAACGCAGAAGTTATCTCACGCAGGTATCACAGTTTTTAAAGCCAAGGCGACTTTTTAACACGAGTACCTAAATAAAAATCGCTTTTAACAAATCAGATTTCACTAAATATAATATAAAATGGGTTAAACGACAATTAAAAAAACACAAAAAACACAGTGAATATGTCAAAAAGACTCATTTACGTGCACTTATCTCTAACTTATCTCTAACTTTGAGGACAATAACGATGCAAAAATGATCTTAAGTTCACTGTGTAACCTTTTTCTGGCAGCTGCTTGTCTCCATGGAGATGTTATTGCTCTGCTGTGAATGTTCCACTGTGAAATACCTTGCATTTGTTCGATTAGAGGTGTTTTTATTGCACAAAAATAGCTAGAAAAACATGCATTCTTACTGCAAGTGAGGTCGCCTGTCCACAGATCTGACCTGCAAGCTGGCATTTTGCTCATCTCCATAGACAGATAGACAGATTTAGTTTAAGTTAATTGCGTTTAATGCCAAACTATGGAGCATTCCAGTTAAAAACCATGACATTTCAGTGGACACAAGCAGGTGGCAGAAAAGTTACACAGTGTATCTTTAAAACAGAGGTCACCATGCCATGCTAAAGGCAAAAGTAGAGCTTGTTTTCTTCGTAAGGTTATATTTGGTCACTTATTACTACGGCGACTGTGGTGTAAACATTAAACGGGAAGCAGAAAGGGTCATGTGACTGGTCCACGCTTCACCTTAAACTAACTCTATAAAACAAATACAATAAAATCACTCAGGAACAATTATTAACTATCAGCCTATTCTAAAAAAGTAACATCACCACCTAATGTCCTAAAATAAAACCACGTGCTTTGTGCATTTCTACAGCAAAGGTTTAGGCTGCACAAACAAACATATTTGTCATTACAACAGCAGCATGCGGTGCAGCCGTTGGCTAATTTGCTTGTTGGAAGTATTGAGAAATCTATTCTCACATCCTACTGTTATATAACAAACTAAGACCACATAAGAAGAAGTATCAGGCTGGTATTTGTAGGATTATGAGTTTGTTTGATGTAGTGAAGCTAATAACCTAGAAGTTGTTGTATAACATATAAGAGGCCTACCAAAAGCTACACCTATGATGATAGACAAATATACTTGGATAAATCAAGTATATTTGGTTTTCTAAAATACTCAAAAGAGTGAGTGAGTCAGATGTCCACTTTAGACGAGGCAGGGGGATGCAACAGGTCTGCACATGTCTATGGAAAGTTTGTGCTCGTCTTTAGCCGCATTGTTCCACAGCCTAAAGCTCATGCAGCCTCAACATAAACAGCCTAAACATCTGCACAGACTGTAAGGTTTCATCGACAACACAGTTTACAGCATGTCACTTTTCAGATCCTCTCATCATCACACATGAGTAAACTCTCCATCGCTCCCGTTCCCGCTGACACCGGCCCCGCGCTCTCACCTGGGCGGGCCGCTGGGCTCCCAGTAGCGGCAGAACAGGTGCAGTCCGTCGGCGTTGACGATGTGCGGCAGGTCGCTGTACGGCACTCCCTGCGGGCTCTTTGCCTCCGGCATGGACGGCTCTGGGGACGAAAACAACAGCCATGAGATCCAAGAGAGCGGGGAGAGCGGCGAGGGCACACCGCTCAGGAGGCAGCTGAGCCCGGCCACGGCCACGCAGCACACCGCCGTGAGCGCGCGCATGGTGAGGGGCGCGCGGAGCTACAGACGAACTGCACGAGGCATCGCTCAAACAACAGGTTTGTTTCCGCTTCAAGAAGAAAAAGAAAGAGAGAGAGAAGAGAGAGAGAGAAAGAGACGAATGAGGTGAGAGAGACGACAGAGAGACGCAGAGCCGCGCGCGCCTACAGCACACAAGCACGCGCCACACCGTGGTGGTGACGTCACGGCCATATGCTCCTCTCTCTCTCTCTGTTTCTCTCTCTCTGTTTCTCTCTCTGTTTCTCTCTCTGTTTCTCTCTCTCTGTTTCTCTCTCTGTTTCTCTCTCTGTTTCTCTCTTTCTCTCGCTCTGACTGGTCCGATCAGTTTGATTCCTGAAAATTCTTAATTAACATGATTAATTAAAGGTCCACTATGTAACATTTCTGGTGGAAAGTTTGCCACCTTAAACACAACACAGAGACAGTGTTGGGAGTGTTACTTTTAAAATGTATTCCCCTACAGATTACAGATTACATACCCCAAAATGTAGTTTGTAACGTAATCCATTAAATTACTTAAAATGAGTAACGTAATCTGAATACTTCAGAAATCTTCACATAAGATGTTTTGTCTGCTAAAAGAAAATAAAAAGCCCAGACTTTACTTAACCAAATTAAAAATATTATTGATAGAATGGTTTCATCCTGTTAAATCCTGTTTTAGTCCTGTTTTAGTAAATCCTGTTTGATCTTTTAGACCTGTTTTACCTTTTGACTGTTTAGTTTAGACTGGTTTAGACCTGGTTTAGATCTGGTTTAGACCTGGTTTTAGTCCTGGTTTAGTCCTGGTTTAGACCTGGTTTAGATCTAGGTTAGACCTGGTTTTAGTCCTGGTTTAGACCTGGGTTCAGTCCAGGTTCAATCCTGATTTAGTCCTGGTTTAGCCTTGGTTTTAGTCCAAAATGTAAAAACAGGAAAATATTGCTATGTAATCCATTTATTTCAACAAAGTAACTGTAATCCAATTACCACTCACTGAAACAGTAACTGTAACTGAATACAGTTACTCATAATTTGTACTCTGATTACATAACTCTGGTACATGTAATCTGTTACTCCCAACACTGCACAGAGACAAGTAAACACTCTCAAAAGCCCATGTTCTTAATGCGTTTTTAAATCAATAAACACACTGTCATTGAATCAGCACAGATAATGCCACACACTGGAATATTCCAGGCAAATTATTACATTTCCATGGAGACAAGCAGGTGGCAGACCATTGTAAATAAAGTTTCATGGTGCAACTTTAAAGCTAACATCTGTACATTTGATTTTTGAGACGGCAAATGTGAAAAGTCTAATCATATTTTATTTCTTTAGTTCTAAATGTGAAAAATGTGCTTATCCTGACATATTTCCTGTTATGACCTAATTAGGCTGATGTAATCCTCTAACCCTATTTTTCCACATAAAATAAAAATGACTCATATTATGGATCTTGGAGCTTTATTCTTTCTGTTGTCCGTTTTGTAGACCCGCCCCCATTGTACAGAACATGTACGGGGTTAAAGCCGCCCTAAAGCTGGGATTTGGGGAAATGACTGTACAACGGTTTTCATTCATTTGAGGATTTGGTCTCAGGGACACAACAAAAGCATTTTGTAACACCAGGGGAACAAACATGTGCACAGATTCAGGTTTAAATACTGTATATATGTAAAAATGGATTGTTATAATTAGAGCCCGACCGATATGGATTTTGTTGTGGCCGATATGATACCGATAAAATGATAGTTGGATCTGCCGATAGCCGATATAATCACCGATATATTTAGTGATGTAAAAATTCACTGTAAATCTTGAATTATTTAAAAAAAACTTAGGTTTGGCTCTTGTGGATTTTAAACTGGGTTTATTTAGGCAACATTTATTGTTATTCTGCCTCTTTACATGAAATGTCATAGGACTAAAGCAGGTCTAAGGCAGGTCTAAAGCAGGACTAAACCAGAACTGAACCAGCACTGAAAAAGCACTAAACCAGGACTATAACAGATCTAAACTATGTGCAAAACAGAACTAAACCAGAATTTAACCAGGACTGAGTGTCGGGACTCGGTCTCTATCTCTCTCCCTCTCTCGACCCCAAGATTAGTCCTGGTTTATTTATTTTATGCTGAATATATTTTTTCAAGTTTTTTTTTTTACACTATGCACACGCAGAGTTTTGAAAGTTTCGTTTTTAGCCGCTGCCGCTGTCAAACTACCACGAGTCTGCACGCGGCATGAAGAGAAAAAAGTGAGAGAAAGAGAAAACACGGCTCCCAATAAGGATCAGGCTCCTGTCGTTCGCTTCAAAGAGCCGGATCTAAGAGCCGCTTCGTTCGCGAACGACCCATCACTGCTAGCGAGTAAATAAACAATCGCTATTAGCCTTTAGCCGTAAATGCTGCGTGCCGCGGTAATTAATTATATGCGCAAATTTCATCATTCACACGTCTATTCACAGCTCATTTACAGATCAATGCAGGTCCAGTAACAAATATATGGCCAATATAGTCACTTTACAATAGACCAATAGAAAACGGCCTATTTATGTGTGGGAGCTACAGCAGCTAACCGCTAACCAAAAACTTGCTTCAAAGTCGACATATTTCCAACACTCACCGCTCACACAGGCTCCTCCTCACATCACAAGTCTGCACTAATAAATGTCCTTTTAATCCAGACTCAAACCGATTGTCCGTAAAAAGAAAATAATCCCAGTGTTTGGATCTGTGTCTGCGGATGTAAACAAACGCACGTGACTCTCACACAGACAAATGACTCCGCAGATAAATACTGATGTGGAGCCACATATTAGGACATTTATCTGACTGTAAATTGGATTAAATGAACATAATGTAGAGAGTCTAAGCTTTATAACGACGTATAACATGCCCATGTGAAATATCGGCCCCTATCAGCAAGCATATCGGCCGATAGCCGATATGCTTCCAGGTGCTCAATTCAGCCGATAATATCGGCCAACCGATATATCAGTCGGGCTCTAGTTATAATGGTATAAAATCACAGTTTAGAGATTAAGGAACGTTTTTAACTCCACATGCATGACCGGACTCTGCATAGGGGGTAGATGAAAACAGATATTTTGAGAGCAACCGATGGCCAATAAGCTCTGCAGGCATTTTTTGCGGACGATTTGTGATTCCTTTTCTCCAAATTATGCAACTTAAATCCACTAAACACACACCAACAGCCCCCTTTTTCTTTTTTTTTTTACCACAAACCTTTAAGAGAGCTGTGCAGTCATGTTTTATCTCTGTTCTAAAGAGTGAAGGCCATGTGATTTAGTTAAAATTAATTACGTTTAATGCCACACGACAAAGCATTCCTGTTAAAACCGTGAAAGTTCAGTGGATACAAGGAAGAGGGGGACCGTCCGTCAGAAAAGTTACGCAGCGCACAGCATTAAAAGTAGAATAACGGTATATTCTGCGTGCAAATACTGTAGATCTTTAGAGTAGGGCCTCGATACAACGGCCACGATACGATGCGCTTTTCGATACAGCGCACTTTCGATTCAATATGATTCGATACGATCTACTTCACACCTGTTCTGTCTCATATAGGCGAGTTTCATTGTTGACAAAAGCGCGCGTTGCATACTGGGAATTATTTTGGTCGGCGGCAATAAACACTAATTCAACATGACGGACGGAGCGAGAAAGCACGTAAAGGGTATTGATCCCGGTTATTTATCCACTCTAACGGCAGAGGACCCAAGACCATTTGACCAGAAATTGGTCATAAGCATCGACTGACGCCAAATCACCCTTTTCAACCCCGACAAAAGGTGGACCAAACCAAATTTCTGGTCAGAATCGCCAACTACCTGGACAAACATTCACTTCCGCGATATCCACAATGACTTGGTGGAAACTCCTGGGCCATTCACAGCAGAAAAGATGAAAACCTCCAAGAGTCTCGATGTGTTGTTGAACTTGTTGGAGTCCACGGTTTGTTAGGATCTTCTACGTTTGCTCTGCGGAATGTTTGAAAGCCGTTTAATTCACCGTTAGCGGTTCTTTTCACTCAGAATACGAAAAAGACATTTTCCTTCTTCCGTGCTTCTATTTGTGCATCCGATAATGCAGCAGCAGGAATTTACCATTATCGGGGATAAATACGCGAGGTTACGCACTGTGTTTGACGCTATCGTGTTTCTTGCCTCCGACCAAAATATTTCCCAGCAGCAGCAACGCGGGCTTTTAATAACAATGACGTCAGCTGAAACTCGCCTGTAGGGTGCAATTTAAAATGTTATTAATTGTTTTCAAATGTTTTCACTCCATGGGTCCAGTCTATTTGAGGGAGTTACTGCAGCTTTATACTCCGCCCAGAGCCCGGAGATCAGCCGACCAGCTCCTGTTGGCCCAAAACTCAGCTCAACACGAGAGGTGACAGATCATTGTCTGTGGCAGCGCCCAGACTGTGGAACAGACTTCCTCTTCCTGTCAGATCCTCTGTCTGTAACGCAGTTTAAAACCAGACTGAAAACTCACCTCTTCTCCCTGGCATTTAGTACGAGCGAGTCAGGTTATCTTGGTGTTTTTATTGTAGTTTTCACTTGTTTTCTGTATATATGTTTATGTAACTGTTTCTTCTGTTTTGTTGACTTCTATGTGAAGCACTTTGGTCATTTGAAGTTGTTCTAAATGTGCTATATAAATAAACTTGAATTGAATTTCAAATCTATACATTTCAGGCAAAGGCTAAATCATGTTTGTGACACTACGGCTCCATCCGCACGAGTACGTATTCGAGTCGTTTTCGTTGTGGATGTCGTTTCGTCCACAGTAATCCGATGGAAGACGGTTCCAGAGACAGAACGATCTCTAATAAGCTCCCTCGAATTCATCTGAGTACAGATCTGATCCGGCACTGCGTGGACGCCTGAAATCGTTGATATTCTGACGTAGGAGCTCTAGTCGTGTCTTTATTGGACCACATCACTGTGATTTGTGCCTTCCTGATTCACCGAGTTTGTGACATCGATCATGTGACACTATTGCGGAAAACAGCGTAGCCAGAACTATTTGTTAATACACGGTTCACGGTTTTCATGCTTGCCATCTCCCTCGGCTCAAAATCGACTGCTGCAACTTCCGACACAGTGCTCGACTTCCTTGTTTTTACCG